AGGGAGGAAATTATGAAAGATGATCTTGATCATTATGGACAGAAAGAGGATCTTGTTGACGTCCTTCTGAATCTTCAAGAACCAGCTGGATTTGGGAGTTCCCGTCACAATGGAGGTTGTAAAAGCATGCCTGACAATCATCACCATTATCAAAAAAAAAAGCATGCCTGACATGACATCCTGCTCTGTTTTTCTCTCTGCCCCATTTCTTTCCAGAGGGTTAATAACCAAAGTATATTAGACTGTCTACCATCAACAATGCAATGCATGCCTGACATATACTCCACCCAATTTTTTATTTTTTTTTACCTCAGGTACATTTGAATTCATAGTTCTACTTCTACCGAATTCATTTTTTTATATTAATTTAAAGCTAGATTGTTCTTTAGGTTCACCTAATTTTTGGAAGTGAGATCAAAATTTGTAGTAAGTGACTGAAAAATTCAAAATTAGAATAAAAATAATAAAATTTAAATACAAAGAAATTACAAATGAGTATCCAAACAACGAATTTGAATTACAAGTATTTCAAATGTTAGTATTTCAAATACATACATTTGAAATACATCTATCCAAACGCATCCTATACAATTTATAAGCAAAATGGGTAAATTTGAAATACATCTATCCAAACGCACCCTAATACAATTTATAAGCAAAATGGGTAAATTTCTACTTTGGTCATAGGGTTTACTAAAACGTAACATTTTTAGTCGTTGGAAAAAAATTAATATCAATTTTGGTCACTCAAATTATTGAAAGAGTCCACATTAGTCACTCTCCGTTAGTCTCCGTCCAACTTCATTAATGGAGTCCGCTATGTGGTGACATGGCTAACAGGATCGCCTAGTCAATGTTGTTTTGGGGCGGAAAAGGTGAAACCCGACCCGCCATGTCATATGCTCAACCCAACCCAACCCATTAACCCACCCCACTTAAATCCTAAAATGCAAAATAGATCGAGTTAAGGAGCCATTTTCATATCGATTATTAGCGATAACTATTCGGAACAACAAATAACAAACGGAACAACAAATAACAAACAACAACTCGGACATTTTATAATTTGGCCAAGAACAACAACTACTACATTTGAAAAACAACAACTACAACAACCTTCTTAAACCATAAGAACTATTTGAAAAACAATAACTACTTCAAACCACAACTATTACATTTGAAAAACCATCAACTGAAAACTACCACCACCAACGAATTTGACGCCGAAATTATCCTCTACTTTCTCCGATTTCCACCGAGCGACTAGTTCTAATCTTCTAAAATCACTTCAAAAAAACTCACTAATTAAACTAAACACAATCATAATAGCATTTGAATAATATAATTAAAAATAGGTAATGGGTAATGGGTAATTCTAAATTTGGGATTTTACACAATGCTAAATAGGTAATGGGTAATTCTAAATTTGGGATTTTAGATTCAAAATAGAAAATTATATGAATGCATAAACTTTTGCCTCGTCGTTTTTATTTTAAAAATAATGTGAGATGTTTGACTATGGAACCTTAATATTCGTGCTTTAAGTTTGTTTAATAGTAATGAATTCTATTTTGAATTTATGGTTTAGTGTGTTTTATAATTAGTACTTATGATATTCTTATTTCCAAGGTACCGGTTTGTTAACGGTTTTTAAGCGGCCTAATACTGGTTAAATCAATAAAGTGCGAGCCGTTTACTATATCGGTTCATGCTCCGGTTTGGTTTTGACAACATTGGAGATAAACCATATTATACAAAGCTCGCTTGAGACTCCCAAGCACAATATGAAAGAGAAATTGATGGTAATTGGTATTGTAGAAAGAACTGTAAGTCTGTAACATACCCGGTTCCATTATGATTTTCCCCATATATAGTTACGTCGACGCAAATCCTTTTTATTTTTTTGTTTTGTTTTGTTGACATCTTGAAGCTCCTCCTCACCCTGAAGTATCTAAGAATTGGTAGGGTGTCATTTGCTTCTAAATGTTTATTAGTTTTATTTTCATGATATGTAAGCTAATTTTAATGTAAAATAAGCTTTTGGGTTCGAATAGGGATGATGGCATGTTTAATTGATATTAAACGAGAATGGCCGAAGTTTCTTGCTTCGATTCTGGGATACCAAAATAAAAAAATTTGTTGCATCTAAATTAGAATCCCATGGGTTTGCGAGATACATTTGTTTTTCAATGTTCACTAGATTGTGGCCCGGCCGATTGGCCGGGTAGTTGTTTTTTCGTGAATTAATATTTTATTTTGTCAAATAACATACATTTAGATTTTCATATTTTGTTAACAATGAATTAGTGTAAAATATCTTAATTTTAGTTAGAAAATTATTACTTAAATATTTAAACATTATTACAATTTAACAACTCTATGAAAATACCTAGAGACAAACTAAATGTGAAATTAAAATTTCAAGATAAAAATGTAGATTTCATCTTAAAATTATAAGATACTTTGTATTAAACTAAGTGGCGCATTGAAAATAAAATTAATATGATATTACTTAATGGATGAAGTTAATGAGAAAATAAAAAATTTCAAATAGGCTAAAGTTGAAAGGATATTCAAGGGAATTAGCTTCTTTAAATAAATAAAAGGAATTAGCTTGGACTTTCAAATGCATTAATGGATAAATTCTTGTGCACCAATGATATATCCTCCCATTCTATTATGGAGGTTCTCCACCAAAAGCCTTTTAGTTCCACTTTTCCGGCCTCCTGTGCATAGTACGGATGGGTGTTTTGGTCAAATGGTTCTCATTTAGATTGGCCATAAACAAATGCAATAGGTGGGCTAAGCCTCTGTTTTTCCGGGGTACTGCGCTGAGGATGGGGTTTTTGTTTTAATTTATATTGGTCATATAAGTCCAAAATTACTTCTAATTACTTCCTTCTAATCATATATTATTATATTAGTGTTTGAAAATACAATTTGAATTAGTGCTACAATGTTAAAAGTATAAATTCAATTTGTACAAAAATATATCGATACAAACTATACCATAACGTTAAAGGACAGTTCCGTTTGTATCATAAACGAATTTTTATGAGAAGATATATGTACAACTAAATTTGTAAAGTGACATTAAAAGTACAATTTAGTTTGTAGTAGAAAAATATTTGTACGAAAAGGTATAGACACAAAATGAATTTGACTATAACATTAAAAATATAAGTTCAATTTGTACTATACATATATTTTTTTCCAAATAAAAGCATTGTAAAATTCATCTCTACATATTTATTGAAATCATTATTAGCAGTTTTGTTTTACTGTATTCATTTAGCTAATTTATAATATTGTTAGTTTATTGATATAATTTGGTGTATAAGCAAGGCTCATAACCACTTTGTTATTAGTTTTCAATTATTCATATTACATTTTTTATAACTGATATTAACTCAACATCAAATTAACTATACTAACAAAATAATATCCATTTTGACATATTTGGAATAAAATGTATGTTATCTAGCATCATATATCATATATGATAGCATTCATGAACTATTAAATCTTCTATAATGGTACCCAATCTATGCAACAATTCCTAATCGTGTTTTCCCACCATCAATTTTTTGTTAGTTTGTTATGAAAGTGGGTCTCGCCTCCCTTACTAGACTTTAATTAAGCTTCCGATCTTCCTATCATGATACTCCCCACCTAATTCACGATTTATAAATTATAGGTAAAAAAAAATGACATTCATGGTAGGTTTAATTATTTTCATAGTTGACCACCATGGTTTCCTAGCCAATTTTGAAAATAAATTTTGCAGATATACAAGAAAGAAGAAACGTATTTATTGGCGAATAGTCAATGCCTATCAAATTTATATGTTGGTCTATTGGTTGTTTGCATTAGGGGAAAGAAGAAATCTCATAAAATGTTCATGAGACATAAACTTCTACTATGTAGTTTATCAAACATACCCATCAACTATTTTTAACATCAAATATGCCCCTACATTTTGGAAAAATGATCAAACATGCCATTCTGCTAAAATTCCATTGGAAAAAATAAACTATGGTTGAACCGAGATTTAGATGACCCGACATCGGCAAATGGGAGGAAAAATGTAAGTTTTGTCCCTTGATTTATTTCTCTAGGTCTTGTTAAAATGAAACTATTAGAGGTATTTGGCTATGCAAAAAAGAACTAAAAAAAATTCTAAAGTGAAATTATTAGGGATATTATAGTCATTTATGTCGCCCAAAATAAGGTTTGACCATGGTTGAAGGTTTTTGGATGAAAATTTTAACAGAAGGGTATGTTTGATCATTTTTTTCAAAGTACAGGGGCATATTTGATGTAAATAATAGTAGTGGGACATGTTTGATAAAACTGCCTAGTAAAGAGGCATATTATACCTATAAGGCTATAATCCATGAAGATAAGAGGGGCAAACGGGTAATTTCGTGCCCCTTTGCCAATTACTATTTTTTTTACTGAAACGAATTCGGAGGAGTGGGAAGAATTTTGACCAGTCAAAGGCTACTTTTTATAATATTTGAGTTTTCTTAATTTGGTCATATATCATTTATTTTTACTCAGAATTAAAAATATATATAGAAAGAACGCATTAATTATGATTTACACAATGATATCCATTTTGTAATATTTTGAAAAAAACAAATATTTTTAAAAAAATACATTTTGATGTAATCTTATCACTGACATATAGTGACTTACCACTACGGTAAGATTGGCTGCACTATCTTTACCACTATGATAAGAGTTCCTAATATCATCTCACCAGTGTCATACCATAGTTTTACTACTATATCAAGATTGACAAAGCCTCATACCATAATATCATCCGTGAAGTAAATCATCGCACCTACGGTCCAACCAATTAACCAATTGGGAGAGAATCAATAGATTCCTTTTCGGGAGCGATTCATCCTTCCCGAACGCAGCATACAACTCTCCGTTGTACTGCGCTCTCCAAGTGTGCGTGTTCCCCCCTTCTTCCTTACCATGGGAGAGAATCAATAGATTCCTTTTCGGGAGCGATTCATCCTTCCCGAACGCAGCATACAACTCTCTGTTGTACTGCGCTCTCCAAGTGTGCGTGCTCCCCCCTTCTTCCTTACCATGGGAATTTTGAAATATGCAATGTAGTCAAAATCATGTTTTAAAGTTTAAAACTTACGATTTTACGTTTTTAGGTAACCAAAATGCTTTTACGCATAATCTCCGTTTTTATAACTAATGTAGTTAATAACTACGCTTTAAAGTTTAAACTTACGATTTTACGCTTCTAGATCACCAAAACGCTTCTAAGTAGAAACGCGCTTTTGACTACATTGATGATATGATAGTAGTAAGACGATGTAAAAAATTATGCTAAAAAAGATCAGATTGAATATTATCTTGTAGAGTACAAAAAGTTTGATCTTTCCAAGCAAATTTTTTGAAATTCAGGGTAAATTGAATTAGACATGATTCGCTGAATTTTTGTTGGAGATTTGAAAAGTGTTTTATTAGCATGCCTGAAAATTGTGCCAGCTCAAAAAATCAGGTTAATTAGCGGTGACAAAAAATCCAATCATTTGTCCCCAAAATCACTTATTTCTCTCCTTACCCTTTTATGATATTGATCATTCGTTCTCTCTTTCTTAAAATATAATCATTAGATATAATTTTATAAATCTAAATATAGATACAGTTATGTAAATCTACATATACGATAAAATTTTGATCTAAAAGAATAGATTATTGCTTTTTTCACGTTGAATTTTTTTTGTTAGGGTAAAATGGAGTCTTGGAAATTTTAGTGCAAAGTTAATGAAAAAGAGGAACCCTGCAACTAAAACAAATATGCAAATAATAAATTTATTGTCCAGGTGGCTTCAAAAGATTGAATTTCCACAAAAATGATTTGTTTTTAGTTTAAGAAGTGGGTGAGGTGAGTAGCTGTGGGCTTGTAGAAAAGGAAAAGGAATATGTGGCATTGTAAAATCTAAAATGTAAAGAAAGTAAGGGGTGGTTTGGAAGTTAGGAGTCTAAATAAGTGATTCTGTGAATGTGTGTATTCTTTACAATCTATCGTTCTTTTGACATAAACTTATCCAGAATGCACGCATTTGATTGGTACTTTAGAATCTCAAATTCCTAGAATCATTCATATTAGAATCTCTACAAAAAGGTGAGATTCTCTTGCTTTACTTTTGTAATTGCTTTTTTGCACCTCTTATCCTTATTATTTTTTATATATTTCATATTTGCCCCTTCTTTAATTGACTATAGAAAGAGAACTTCAAGGTTATATAAGTCTTTTTGGTCTTTAATGTGAGAATCCTTTTTGTTTAAAAGTGAGAATCACAACTAACAAACAACATATTCTTACAATCATCTATTTCTTACAATCACTACACTCAGAATACACATATTCATAGACTCCCAACTTCCAAACGACCCCTAAGTGACAGCGCCGGGCGGTTTTTGACGAAAGGGCAGGAGGAGATGACAAATTAATCCCTCCGAGGTGTGCGGTATCAACAGCACGGGCTGATGTGGCAATAAGCTTTTATTGACATTGCCTTATATATATCTGTAGATGATAAAAACTTAGGATTTATTAGCTTTCATAACTGTCATAGACACATGAATTATCTCATCTATTAAGTTATCGTCCAATTTTGTATTGACCCCATCTATTTAGGTTTTGCATAAGACAAAGAGTGAAAAATCAAAATCTACATTGTTTAGTTTAAAGTTCTTTGTCCTCCCATGAAATTCAGCCTATTGTTCTTGGAGTTAATAGGACTAAGTTATGTCTTAAACAGATATGTGATTCATTCATATTATCATATCATTATGCAGAGTATCTATTCAATAGCTGATTTCTTATCAGGAGCCTTCTTCGTTTGTGTTGTGATGTTCTTGGAAACTAATATATTTCTCATCAGTCATCAACCAGTACCTTACGTAGTACATATTCAAGTATACATATTTATTTCAAGTAATTGCATGTTTCAGCGTAGAAATGAAGATGAGGATCCAGCTTAAAGCATTCATATTGGTTGATAGGAATGTAGTTAATAAATGGGAAGTTAGTGGTTAATAAGTTGTTACGGGTAAATTAGACATTTTAAAAATATGATTGATATTAATATAATTCATATTACTATTTATTAAAGAAGAAGAAAAAAACCCTAAAGCCATCTCCGTTATTCCTAGGAATGGCAATCAAACCCATGACCGCTGGTATCCGCCCACCTCTTACCCAGTCAACGCAGGGAATCCCCGCATTGACCGGGTATGGGGCGGGTCTGGGTAAAACCCGCAAAGAACTTGATGGATATGGGGCGGGTATGGTTTTAGCGTCCCCCGCCCCATCAAGGTATTTTGCTATACGTAAAAGGCTATAAATATATTTTTATAAATTATTATCAGCATGAAGGTAATCAAATAAGAAAACATGATTAAAATATAATTATATTTATCAAAACCCTTGAAATTTTCAACCCTCTCAGCCGACTATTGTTTACTTTCTCAATTCCACAATGTCGCATGAAGGTAAAGATGACACTATTGTTTACTTTCCTCTCCTGACTCCTGAATCATCTTGAAGATGACCACCTTACCAAAATTGTTGATGAGATAGTAATAGGTCATTGCATATTATTTTTTACATTTGAATTATTTGATGCATATTGGTGCAACTTAGTGTGTTTGAATAATTGGTAGTCTAGTAGACTTTTGATATTTTAGAAGCAAAAGAGGTTTTTGTCTAGTTGCCAGGTTTATGTTAGCTATTTACTCTATAGATGTGTTAGATTCGAAGATGAATGATTTGATATAGTATTATATTTTTACTTTATTTTATTGATTCTAGGATTGAATGCTTTTTCCTATTAATAAATACTATAACTATGTTGATTTCTGCTATTTATTATGTATGTTTTGTGTTATAATTGAAGACATATATGTTGAAATTTAGATATAATAATATTGCTTATAAGGGGGCGGATATTACTCATGGGTATCCGAAACCCATGGGTATGGGGATGGGTTTGCAAAACCTCCCTCCGCATGAGTATAAGGCGGGTATGGATTTGGGTATTTGGTAATGGGGATGGGGATGGTTTAGGCAAACCCGCCCCAAACCCTCCCATTGCCATCCCTAGTTATTCCCTTCTAAAAGTTACCAGAGTTCCCTTCCAAAAGTGACCGGAGGCGAGCTCTCCTCATGAAATCAGCCAAGCGAAGGCGCCGACAAGAAAAAAAAAGCTACGGCAGTAGCGTCATCCTGCCGCCATCCCATTGTTAGAACCTCCACAATCCCGCCAACATCTCGTCGCTACAGTTCCCGCATCCCGATGATGCAACTTTCTGCGACGCCACCATCCCTTTGTACGTCGTTTTTTCGTGATAGTGGAATGGATTCTGAACGAGGTTTTTTTTATAGATATGAATAAAATGAATTTGCATTCGTAATGGGTTTCATTGAAAAACGACACGTTTTTGTTAATAATCATTTCACATTTTTTAAATGATAACTAACGAGACGTTGATAATATTAATGATAATTTTAAGACATTCAATGTGATGTTATTTACCCTTATCCTAAGAATTATTAATAGCGTCTGTTTTTTTTAATAAAGGGGAGGCAAAAGCCAAGGTTACAAAGCCAGGTAGTGCTGGTGGCTAAAACCCCTGCGCAAGTGCAGCGGGCCAACAACAGCAAAGAGTCCAGACCAATCCCTCAAGAACCAACGCCAAAACAGGTGGCAGACACAAATACAACTCAACCATCCAAGTCTCTGTTCTGCAGAACTCTCCGAGGGAAACTAACCTCAACAATGTCATGTAACAAAACTCTATCAAGCCCTCTAGGTGGACTTGCTAGTTCACACGTACCGAAGGGATAGACGAGATTGTGCTTCTAGAGCCAGTCCGCGGCTCTATTCCCTTCTCTGTACGTGTAAACAGCCTAACCACCCAGTTCTGGGACATCATACGCCGTATAGCAGCCAACATCGTGGAATGAGGATGAACAGGGTCTTCCCGGGCTTTGATAAGATCAATAGCAAGCTGCGAGTCTGTTTCTAGGATAAGAAATTGCGTACCGTGTTTCCAGGCCATTAGGAGCCCTTGATGAATGCCCCATAACTCCGCAAGAATAGCTGAACCAGTACTGATCTTGCTACAGAAACCACATACCCAATCCCCATTGCTATCTCGGAGGACCCCACCTGCTGTCGCTAAGCCTTCATTGCCTTGGGCTGTACCATCAGTGTTCATTTTCCTCCATCCTCCCGACGGCGCCTTCCAACCAATCGGCTGGTCTGATCTCGGAGGTTTCTCTATCACGCTTAAGTTTGAGCTGGCTTTGTCCCACGTCTTCAACCAGTCGTTAGCTTTAGAAGTGACATAATTGATTATGGAGGACTCAACCATATTTCTCCCCTGAAAATGAACTCATTTCTATACTTTCAGACATACCAACAAATTATAGCAAAGATACTCGGCCAGTCCTCCTGAATCTCCACTCCAAGTTTCTTCTCCAGGTTCATTTCAAACCAGCTATCCGGATCTGCAACAAAGAACCCCTGGTGTGCCTGGGCTGGAGGCGACTTTTCCCAAATCTTTCGCGTGGTTGTGCAATCTCTCAGGCAGTGCATATTTGTCTCAACTGCTTCTTTACAAAGCTGACAAGTATCGTCAGTAGTCAGGTGACAAAACTTACGAACACTGTTAGTAGACAGTTTCCCTTTAGCAGCGAGCCAGGTAAAGAAGCGGACTCTCTCTAGGCAGTTGAGCCTCCATATCTTCCGCCAGTCAATGCGCCCTTGGCTAACTTGATCAGGCATCATGGCTTGATATGCCGAGTTCGCGCTAAACCTGCCATTGGGAGTAATTCTCCAAAACAGAGTGTCACCATCACTGGTCAGAGGATCCAGCCAAACAGCTCGCATTTTATCAATGATTTCGGGCGGAAGGTAGGGCTGAATCTCCTGAAAATTCCATCTGGTGCTCGCGTCCCAGTAATCACCAACCATTTTGTCTCTGTACGCCAAAGGGACCTCCGTCGTCGCCAGCTCCACAAGTTGTTCCTGCATAATCCACACATCATACCAGAACTTAGTGC